GGGTTGTAAAGTTGCCACAATCTTGGCAGGCTGGTACCTTATACCCAGCCTCCCACCACTCCCCCCCCCCTCTTCTTCCACTTTCTCGTCAGACTTTTTAAAAATTTTCATCTTATTGATGATTTCCTTGAATGGGCTTCGGGGCTTCATTTTTAAGAACAAAGAATAGGCTCACTTACCAACCCCCCTCCCACCCTCCGCCTCCACCCACTCTTTTTCGAGCTAGCACGTCGCAGGAAGCGACTAATTGTGGGTGTTTCCTTCAAATTCGGAGTGCATCTGCCTGAGAGGCCAAGAACTAACAGTCTGCATACAAATTAACTAGATCTGTGCACGCAAAACTCAAGTTTTGGATTATAACATGTTTAATAGTGGACGAGCAACCGGAATTTTTTGCCAAAGCTTACTACCGGTGAACGTGAAGAAGAAGAGGAAGAAGAAGGAGAAGAAGAAGAGGAAGAAGAAGAAGAAGAAGAGAATGCTTATAATAGTAATGGTTAGTATGATGATGATGGTGATGATGAATTATGATTTCAACCCTGGTGCCCGAAATTAGATCCCACGTTCTACCCGTTTGGCCAACTGTTTCTTTGACTTTTGAGAAAAAAAAAAGAAGGTCAAAATAAAAGCCCAATCGTTTGTCTCTGTTTGTATCTTAAAAAGGCATATTTTCATAAGTAACAGAGCGTAATGTGTACATCAAAATCGGCGGCTACTCAAAATAGTTTGGGAATCACTGAATCAGCAGATCGCGTTTGGATGTATTGACAAGGGGAGATCACTACAGTAATTAAACACGGGGCGATAATCCGAGAAAGGGTCTGAGAGTGAAGCCGAATGGCCTTAAATTTTTTTTTATCGTATCATTTTAATTCCAGTGAAATATTGGTACTAGGAAACGTTTAGGAAGTAAAGGCGACTTTTGTGATAATGAACTCATTGCCCAGCGAGTGGATGAGTGACTTTCAACCCCACCGGGACCGCACAAAAGAGGATAAACATCCGGTGACACAAAGCGCCACCAGTCGGATAAGTGTTCCCCTGGGCACAAGTCCTAGAAACGCCCTTTAACAGTCATATTAGGGCCCCGACAACGGCCGTGGTGGGGCTGTAATGGCCACCAAAAAAAAATTTCGCATGTTTGTCGAATGTTATAATTATAACATACAATCTGTTTTTTTTTCTTTTTTTTCTTTCAGTAGAGCAAAACACAATTATAATATAAAATAATGTCACGAAAGGGTTTGGAGTTTTTCTTGTAAATTAAAGATTTGATGAAAAACATGTTCAAAGTTTCGCAAGCAGACAGCAATAGACTTCTGTTCAAGTTTGCAAACTCCTCCGTCAAAATGTCAAATGTCCGGGTTTTCCCCCCTCCACCGTGGCAATCAAGCTGTTTGTGTTGGCTCTTCTCTTTTATTGCCTCCCAGCCGTGGATTGCATCCTCCGATGAAGGATTGTCATGAACCAAGCATTCCCAGGAGTCAGGGAGTGAAACACAGCAGCCAGCGAGCTCACCACTTTGATTGAAACAGATATTTTGTTTGAGCAAATATTGCTCTAGTTTTGAGACAACCGGAGATGACGGAATCAAGGGGAAGTCACTAGAGTCAACACGAGTGTTTACTACTCCCAACACTTGTAAAGACAACGCCATCTGTTTGATGGATAATGTGGACGGAAGAAATGGCTTCTTCTTAAAGTAACATTTCATTTGCTAAGTGTTCATTGTAAAAGCCAAGCAAAGGATCAATTGTGATGGGATCGACATCCAGCCGACCGACTTTACTTCCCAGGACTTTACCTGGTATCTATTTAAGACTGGATCGATTTGGGAAGCGAGGTAATTTTTTTTTAAAAGTTTGGCCTTGTTCGGGTTTGAACCCTTGACTTCGGATTAGTGGCGTTTGTCGCCAGACCATGGCTGCTCCAGTTGTGCATTGAGTATTATATTAAAAGGAATGAGTTATAATCCCTTTCACAAGTTGTGACCGGCTTTAATAAAACATCTCTAGGACATCACACAAGCGATAAACACCCGATGACACAATGTTCCACCATGTGGATGAGTATCACGGTGGGTAGGTCCCAGAAACCTCATTCAGCAAATTGGCCATATTTATGGCCTGGCTATATTGCGGCCCCTGGCAAGAGCCAGGGCAGGGCTTCAAATAACGAAAAATTTCATCCTAAAAAGGACGGCAAGATAGTAGTAGTCTCGCTGTTTTATATGACGCTCTTATTATTCTAGGACCCACAGCTTCCTATTCTATTAGTGCCCCTTCTGCTTCTTTCGAAAGCATCAGGGCCACTCCTTATCTGTGGGGAGCATTTACCTCTGTATATCCTGAGAACAAAATAGTTTCCCCTGAATTTAGTTATACTTTTCCCGGCCCCTGTCCATCTAGTTTCCCGTAAAGCTAAAATACTAATTCTATAATGTTTTATTTCCCCTGATACTTTCGTTATTCTTCCTACATCGTATAACGTTCTAACATTCCAGGTGTCAATTCTGGAGGTTTTCCTAGCTGAAAGGAGGTGCGTCAACGATCCCAACTCCTTTTGGCTTTCTCCACACTGTGTCATACTTCTTCTACTAGAAGAGCCTCCCCTCATCTTGGCTGGCTGGGTTTATCTTGTTTTTCTTTTTGACTTTTCCTTGTTGGTTTGTTTGTTACAGGATGAGGTAGCCAACCTCAAGCCCAACCTTACTTACCCTTAGTCGCTTTTTACGACATACCTGGTAACGTGAAGTGCTACTATTCTTTGCTTCCTGTTATGGCCTCGGCGACACACGGACGACATATCATATTATTTCAGATATACAGTTATACTTATTTGCCGTCCAGCGCATACTACTACTACTACTACTACTACTACTACTACTACTACTACTACTACTACTACTACTACTACTACTACTACTACTACTACTACTACTACTACTACTACTACTACTACTACTACTACTACTACTACTACTACTACTACCACCACCACCACCACCACCACTACTACTACTACTACTACTACTACTACTGCTACTACTACTACTACTACTACTACTACTACTACTACTACTACTACAACTACTGCTACTACTACTACTACTACTACTACTACTACTACTACTACTACTACTACTACTACTACTACTACTACTACTACTACTACTACTAATAATAATAATAATAATAATAATAATAACGATAATTATAATAATACTTAAGTAAAAGAAAAGGAGCCTTTTCCACTCATTTCAAGCGTATCGGGTATACAGGGATAGGCCTCTATTTTATAGAGAAACAGCACTTGGTGGGTGATGTGGTCAGCATCACGCCGGCTGCCTTTACTTCCCAGTACTGTAGGGGGTACACAGGAACCAAACCCTAGAGCTTCCGTTCCGCATGTGAGCTTGACCACGGCTGCTCCCATAATAATAATAATAATAATAATAATAATAATAATAATAATAATAATAATAATAATAATAATAATAATAATAATAATAATAATAAAGAGCCGTAATAATTAGGGTTTTTCTGAAGGTACGCAACGGTGGGCAGTACCGACACCTTTTTTATGCATAATTTGTTTCGGTATCATTGTAATGGACACTTTGTTGTAAGTAAGGGAACATTTTATTAGACACCTTGTGGTGACTACTGGTATCCTTATTTTTTCTAAACAAAGGCCTCAGTATAATAATTATTGTTGCGCACTTAAACAAGAATTAAGTCTCTTGGTCCTATCTTGCTATCTAAAAATATTATGAACTGACTAATGATCCCCCCCCCCCCTCCCCCAACTATACCTCATTTTAAAATTATGTAATATTTATACACACATTTTCATACATACTCATAAATAAACACATGCTCAGATTAATAAACATATACGTTGCCTCTGCGATCCAGGAATTGTTTCTCTCCACTGATACACAGATAACCTCTGACACAGCACGTGCAAACTTCAAATTTAAAAAAAAAAACTGAGACCGTGCATCCTTCCCCTGGGAACTTATGGGTGTGAGTCACGGGATCTCGCCCAATTACTGAACAAACAATATATATCTATATATATCTATATATATATATATATATATATATATATATATATATATATCTATATATATATATATATATATATACATATATATAAACGACCCTCAGTGTGTGATGTGATCAACGTTACATCCGTCGCCTTTGCTTACCAAATGAGCCACCGTGGTGTAGCGGCTAGACGCTCGCCTGGGGATCGGAAGGTCGTGAGTTCAGATCCTGACGGAGCCGAACTTTTTTTTTTCTTTAAAAAATGACATTGGTTCCCATATTCGCCCAGCCTTAAATAGGGATCTGGCAACGTCCAGGGACGTCAAGGCGGTCAGCTAAATGTTGACCTAATCAACCACTGAATTCCGATTGGTCTCTAAAATATAGGTCTAGCTCACATGCCCAACTTTCCTGAAGGCGTGGGAAAGGGCCCTTTACTTACCCGGACATATGACTTATTTTACCTATTTTATACCAGGTCAGCCGAAGAGCCAGTGTCAGTTTAACATAACAACAATAAAACCCCTGGATGTGGATTTGAACCCAAGACCTTCAGGTCAGCACATACAAATAGAGCAAAAGACCCTTTCCACGGCTTCAGGTGTACTAGGCATATAGGGCTAGACCTATATTTTATAAACCAATAGGCATTCGGTGGGTTGTTCAACTCCACGCAGGCTGCCTATACTTCCCGTGACATTACCTGGTACCCATGTATGGCTGTGTCGACCTACGATCCAAAATCATTTTTGAAGAGAGCAAAAAGTTCGGCTCCGACAGAACCCGAATCTACATCCCACGGATCCACAGGCGAGCGTCTAGCCGCTACTCTACGGCGGCTACTATAGACAGACGCACAAGCTGGAAAGTGGAAAAATATCTTTTACTTTAAAAAAAAAAATTATTTAGACATATTTTAACAACTCTGTAATGCATCTCTGGTTTCAGAGAGCCTACACATTGATCTTGGAGCTTTGGGACAAGGATAAGCACGGACCAGGTGAGTCTTGTATTTTCAGTAAAGTGTTTGTCCGCGCATAACACTTCCCAATGTATAAGCCACCAACTCCCTCTACAAACCCATCCGACATCCTCCTGCACAAGGGGTTTGGTTTTGAGGTTTTGAACAACGGATCAACATCATGGCACAGGAGTGTAAACTATAAGTGCTCCGTTCTTCTTCTTACTCAAGTCTGAGTCCGAAGAAGCTCAGCACAATGCACAGGCTCTGTAACACCGGAAAAATCCTGAAATACTTTGAGTAGATTTTTAACTTCGAAGTTAGCCCGGGAAGCGCCGTTAGGCTACCCTTTTCGATTTTCAACTGCCAAGCACACGGGCGTCCGATCTCACTACCCAGAGACCAGGGGGAATTACCAGGAGTCCAAGTCCACGTGAAAAAATCCGAACCCTTACTGGGGATTGCATCGGAACCTCTAGTACTCGAGGTGGACACCATGCCTCGAGACCACGCAGCTCCCTCTGCAGAAAAGTACATCTCCAAAGAGCACGCACATGCTAGGTAAAATATTAACTCAAATGTAAATGAGTACAACAAACACACACGAAACAGAACCTTTACTGGAGGCGCCAATAGTATGGAGAACGCCGTTTCGTAGATCGCTGTCCGACTCACCACCAAACCTGATCAGAGACCTTCATTCCCAGAAGAGTACACCTTAACACTCCCATTATTTTAGCCTAAAATAAATTTTAAAAATAAGTCGTGCATAAGACAACATTTAATTTTAAACTTGGGGCGGGCGGTGGGAGAGAGAAGGGAGTGGTCTCTGTGGCGAACTGGTCAAACCGTTTACCTCGCGCTCTGAAGGTCGTGGGTTCGTTTCACCGCTGCGCCCTTTAGTTTATAAGTGCAATTTTTACGGAGATCCCTAGGAATCGTCGCTGGAGCTAAGGAGTTCGTTCTCTGCGCAGCGTTTTCGCCAGGTGGCTAGCTGTTTTGTGGAGAGAGACTGAGCCATGTGGGATAAAACCTGGTGCAATGAAGTCAATCGACTGGACTTTAACCTTTAACTTTCAGTGTTAGCCTTCAAATAAAAAAGTGGGAAAACAAATCGTCTTATATACAGCAGATACGGTATTTAAAAAGAAAGCAATCGTCACATATGTGGTTCTGTGACTTAGAGAGTTAAAAACGAGTTCTAACATCCCTAATGCAAGTTCGACATCCGTTGCAGGCTTGTCAGAAAAACGCCATTCTCCTGGTTCTCCGGCAACGTGTGGCGCCCCCTACAGTAAGAGACAATAAATCCTAGCACCTCCCCCCCCCCTCCACCCTCCCACTTTTCCCCTCCAACTTTAAATAAACATGATTAAATAGAGGAGGACACAAATAATAATCCTAAGCACTGTTAACAAAACAATTGTACAAGGCCCTCTACATAAAGCAGTGTCCAAAATCACAAAAGAAATAATCACCAACAACTGGTAATTTAGTATATAAATATCAGTGTGGTCGTTGACAATGTAAATATCAGTGTGGTCGTTGACACTGTAAATGTCAGTGTGATAGTTGACACTGTAAATGTCCATGTGATAGTTGACACTGTAAATATCAGTGTGATAGTTGACACTGTAAATATCAGTATGATAGTTGACACTGTAAATATCAGTGTGATAGTTGACACTGTAAATATCAGTGTGATAGTTGACACTGTAAATATTAGTGTGATAGTTGACACTGTAAATATCAGTATGATAGTTGACACTGTAAACATCAGTGTGATAGTTGCCACTGCAAGTATCAGTGTGATCGCTGACACCGAAAATAGCACTGTGGTCGTTGACACTGTAAATGTCAGTGTGATAGTTGACACTGTAAATGTCCATGTGATAGTTGACACTGTAAATATCAGTGTGATAGTTGACACTGTAAATATCAGTATGATAGTTGACACTGTAAATATCAGTGTGATAGTTGACACTGTAAATATCAGTGTGATAGTTGACACTGTAAATATTAGTGTGATAGTTGACACTGTAAACATCAGTATGATAGTTGACACTGTAAACATCAGTGTGATAGTTGCCACTGCAAGTATCAGTGTGATCGCTGACACCGAAAATAGCACTGTGATCGTTGACACTGTAAATATCAGTGTGGTCGTTAACACTGTAAATGTCAGTGATATCGTTGACACTGTAAATATCAGTGTGATAGTTGACACTGTAAATATCAGTGTGGTAGTTGACACTGTAAAAATCAGTGTGATCGTTGACACTGTAAATATCAGTGTGATGGTTGACACTGTAAATAACAGTGTGGTCGTTGACACTGTAAATATCAATGTGATAGTTGACTCTGTAAATAACAGTGTGATAGCTGACACTGTAAATAACAGTGTGATAGTTGACACTGTAAATATCAGTGTGATAGTCGACATTGTAAATATCAGTATGGTCATTGACACTGTAAATATCAGTGTGATAGTTGACACTGTAAATATCAATATGGCCATTGACACTGTAAATATCAGTGTGATAGTTGACACTGTAAATAACAGTGTGATTGTTGACACTGTAAATAACAGTGTGATTGTTGACACTGTAAATAACAGTGTGATAGTTGACACTGTAAATAACAGTGTGATTGTTGACACTGTTAATAACAGTGTGATAGTTGACACTGTAAATATCAGTGTGGTCGTTAACACGGTTTTTGTCTTGATGATGTCAGCTATTTTTGGTCTACCTCAAGATCCCCACCAACGTCTTTCCGGGTGGGAAACCATTGATTTGAAGTACATTTTCATTTGAAAGAATCGGCATCATTACGCTGAGTTGAATGCCTTGATCGACACTTGTATTTGGAGCCTTGTGGTGGTGTCACAACTATAGGAGAGCCCTAGGAAGGGTAGGGTTCCTATACAGGAGATATCTTCAGTCTATATATGTGGCTCACTAGAAGTATGGTACTTCATTGTCTACTAGGGTAGAGAGACCGAGATATTACTCCTGGGACAGAGGACAAGAAGATAAGTCTACCCCGCTCCGATGGTGTGGTGCTAGGCAGACTAGTTATCCTGGTGGCAACTCCTCTGCCACTTTTAAAGAAAGAGCCCCCAGAGAGAAAGCAAAGAATGCCCCCTTCTCGCTCACTCACCTTTTACTCACGCACAGCAACAAAGACAGACGAGAGTAGTAGTGAATGAAGAATGATGTAGCTTTAATTTTACTGACAGCTGACTGGCTAAAAATTCACAGTGGTTTGGTGTTTGTTTTTAAACCCAATGTTTCTCATCATCAGGTAAGAGAAATGTCTACTGGGTCCAGTTCCTTCCCCGCACGAGTACAGCTCACCCGTGGATACTCCCAAAGGTTGGACTTGATGGGGAAACCGGAACACTTGGCTTCTTGTAGATCTTATTTCTTGGGATATCCTCTTGTAGATAATCCACCGCTGATGTTCTTAAAGTTCATATACGACACGTGGTCGTTTAGAAAATACGACACGTGGTCGGTTAAAAATACGACTAATAGTCGGTTATGAATACTGGGATTAAATCCCTTAAACTGTCTCTTTGTCTGTGCCGATTCTATGGCGACATGACAATGGGTACAATTGTGTACTAATCGTTGAGTCGTTGGTTTTATGAAAATGCCGCAGGGCCCTCAGATCGGTCAGAAATCACTACAGTAATCCAGAACAAATTAATATAGAACTACACTCGCTAATCTGAATACTGCACTTGAAAACTACCGGCCTCCGCTCTCAACACAGTTGGAATTGAAATGCTTGAAACATGGCGACTTCCGTTCAAAATGGCCGACCCACGTGACGCCAGCCATGCGCATGCGCCAAAAAGATGGAGCGCCATCTGGTATGTTCTATTTTATTGGTCGGACTGGGCACTGTGATTGGTTGCAAAACTATTATTCCATGATTTGAATGTAACTAGTCCTATCGGGTTTCTAGCGGAAAGTAATAGGGGAAATCGGGTCCTCTAACTTCTGTTATATATATATATATCTAACTATACAGGTAACTAGGGGAGCGTCAGTGGTCATTGCCAGTACTGTCACATAGGCCCCCCGTAAAAAAAAAAGTTCTGGGATCCAAACTTTTTAGAGACTAAGATGACCATCTGGCGTATCTCCTTCATCTAGTTTAGCTTGATCATTCTCCTCTTCTGGAGGGTGACGACTCAGGAAATCTGCTCCTACATTCTCTTTCCCCGGAATGTACTCTAATGTAAAAGTGTAGGGTTGGAGTAACAGTGACCACCTCATCAGCCTAGTGTTGAGCTTCTTAGATGCCGCTAGAAACATCAGAGGCTGGTGATCACTCTGTACTTTAAATTTTGTTCCGTACAAGAATGGCTGGAATTTCTGCACTGCCCACACTAGTGATAAACACTCTTTCTCAATGGTTGAATAATTTCTTTCAGCACCGTTGAGCTTCTGGCTGGCATATGCTATCGGAAACAACATGGATGGTTCTTCTCTACCTTCCTGGAGTAGGGTCGCTCCTATTCCTATATTACTGGCATCAGTCCTCAACGTAAAGGTTTTAGTGAGGTCCGGGAGCTGAAGAATAGGTTTGGAGGTTAGCTTTCCCTTGAGCATAGCGTACGCTGTCTCACAGTCAGCTGACCAACGCACCATCTCTGGGGCTCCCTTTTTTGTAGCATCTGTAAGTGGGGAGGCTATCGTGTTAAAGTCTTGTATGTACTTTTGATAGAACCCACACAGAGATACAAAGGACCGCACATCCTTCTTAGTTTTTGGTCTAGGTGCCTTGTGCAACTTATCCACGTTCTCTTTGTTCAGGGCACATATATCCCTGTGATATGGTGTGTCCCAGAAATTCTAGTTGTCCAAAAGCCAGTTTACATTTAGAAGGCCTGGCTGTTAACCCCACTTCTGCAAGCCTTCCTAGCAAAGTGTCGAGAGTGTTGAGGTGTTCTTCAAAATGCTCTGACGCGATGAGGATGTCATCCATAAAATGTTGTAGCGTTGGCCGTTTTAATGGGCCTAACA